TCTTTCTCTCTCTTTCTTTATTTCTCTCTATCTTTCTCTCTCTTTCTTTATTTCTCTTTATCTTTCTCTCTCTTTCTTTATTTTTCTCTATCTTTCTCTCTCTTTATTTCTCTCTATCTTTCTCTCTATTTCTTTATTCTTCTCTATCCTTCTCTCTCTTTATTTCTCTCTATCTTTCTCTCTCTTTCTTTATTTCTCTCTATCTTTCTCTCTCTTTCTTTATTTCTCTTTATCTTTCTCTCTCTTTCTTTATTTTTCTCTATCTTTCTCTCTCTTTATTTCTCTCTATCTTTCTCTCTATTTCTTTATTCTTCTCTATCCTTCTCTCTCTTTATTTCTCTCTATCTTTCTCTCTCTTTCTTTATTTCTCTCTATCTTTTTCACTCTCTTTATTTCTCTCTATCTTTCTCCCTCTTTCTCTCTTTTTCGCTCTCTATCTTTCTCTCTTTTCCAGTCTCTATCTTTCTCCCTCTTTCTCTCTTTTTCACTCTCTATCTTTCTCTCTTTTTCACTCTCTTTCTCTCTCTTTCTGTCTCACTCTCTTTCTCCCTCTTTCTCTCTCTTTCTGTCTCACTTTCTTTCTCTCTCTCGCTGTCTCACTCTCTCTCTTCGATTCTCACCCTGGTTCCTTATGCTATACGAGTCTCTCTCTTTCTCTACCTCTCTCTCTCTCTTTTTCTCTTTCTCTCCCCCTCTCTCTTCCTCTCTCTTCGATTTTCATCCTGGTCTCTTATGCTATACGAGTCTCTCTTTCTCTTTTTCTCTCCCTCTCTCTCTTTCTTCGATTTTCACTCGATTTTCATCCTAATGCTATACGAGTCTCTCCCTTTCTCTTTTTTCTCCCTCTCTCTTTCTCTCTTCGATTTTCACCCTGATCTCTTATGCTATACGAGTCTCCCTGTGTCTCTCTCTCCTATTCTCATCCTCGTCGACGCGCGTGTCCGAATAAAATTCTCGAAAATTGTATGCACCCCTTGCCGCGCGCTTGGAACGCGACCACCGGAGAACGGTTTTATAAACAATAAACATCAACCGTACAATCTGCTTGAACATCGAGCCAATTCTCACAGTCGTCCGGCGTTCTTCGAGACCGCGATACAACGGAGCCGCGGCGGTAGCGGGAGGGAGAGAGAGGGGGGGAGGGCGCGGATCGAAAGTAAAAATTTGTCATCGTACCGCCGTCACGCGAAAAACTGTTACGTGAAAACTATCGTCACGCGACAGCGAGAAAAAAAAAATAGTTGCCCGGCGAAGTGTTACCCGCAGTTATCCGACCTTATTTGACCACGATGCTTTCGATTTGCAACAAGCAGATTTTAAGTTATTAACAGGAAATTAAGACCGTGCGCAAAGTGTTACAACAAGCCCGTTACCTGGACGGTTGCAATAAAGATGGAAATAATTGCGTCGGTACAGTAAAAATAAACATAAATTCGCGTAATTACAGGTTATTCTTATCTTTACCCTTCTTGCGTAAAAAGCCATTACTTGTGCGCGAAATAAGTATAAATAAATGACGATATGATCGTCGCAACGCGCTCGCCGCCTTCCAGAAACAGTTTCTTCGGGGTATCGGGAAAAGTCGTTTTAATCGGCCGGCACGTTAATTTGCTGGACCGCGGTCTTTTATGCGGATTTTACGATAAAAAGAGAGAATGGCTAGGTGAAATTCCAAGGAATGAAGACATTAAAAGAATTTAAGGACTGCTCCTACTTTCTTCTACGTTTAACGAAATCGTCGAGAGAGAAAAAATTGATTTCAATTCGGATATCGTTCCTTCGCAATTAACTTTCTCTCTCTCTCTCTCTCTCTCTCTCTCTCTCTTCGATTCTCACCCTGGCCCCTTATGCTATACTATTTTCTATACTGTTCTATACTTGCTATACTATTTCTCTCTTTCTCTCCCTCTCTCTCTCTTTTTTCTTTCTCTCCCACTCTCTCTCTTTTTCTCTTTCTCTCCCACTCTCTCTCTCTCTCTCTCTCTCTCTCTCTCTCTCTCTCTCTCTCCCCCTCTCTCTCTCCC